CTTTACTTGAGGGGATAAGAGCTGAGAACCTCCAGCTCTCACCACTCCGGAGTGCTTGGTGCTCTCCTGTCCTTCAAGTGACTGTTGCCGTTCAGTCTGAACCCAAACACAGGCTAACGACCATCCCGCCTCTCCTTGCCGCCAGCTGAGCACGGAGCGCAGGGCAGCACCCCGCACAGCCGTGCCTGGGCGCCGGGGAGAACAGCAGCAGAAAGCGAGCCGCAGAGTGCCACCTCGATGCTACACAGCTCCTGCGCAAACGGGGCTCACCTCAAGCTGCCTGTACAACACAGAGATGCAGCTGGTGTCCTGAAAAGGGCAGGAAGACGACAGATTGGAGCTGGCTCTGGAATTAATGTCACATTTCATGTTGAAAGCAGGCACAACGACTGCCCCGCCGAGGAGAGCACAGGAACGCCCAGCTGATAACGTCCTTCCCTCTTGCCCTCTCCTCTCATGGCATTTCTGCAGCAGCTTCAGTACACAAGATGGAGCACATTCTCGTTTGTTTTCAAGCTTTGCATGGGGCTTGACAACTAGGGAGTTCCTAAGCCCTGCTCAGTATTACAGGTTAGGAGGTTCACCCCGCAGCGTCACTCGCACGTTCCTAGTGCAAGCTGAGCTGGATGCCCAGGTCGGGGCTTTGCATGCCCTACCGGAGCCAGGTACCCGCATCGTGCCTATGCAGCCCCGCTAAGCGTACCTTAAGCCTTCTGAGCATGCCCTTGTCATCGACCTGTCTCAGGAGGCTTTGCCTCCAAGGAAGAAATGTTATCCAGGAACACACAGGCTCCATAACTGCTCTAAGAGGTCTGAACAACAACTTTTGGATAGCTCTATAAAGTCGGGATAGCAAATGGGGGTGTACCAATTGACAAAAGCGCTCCGTAAAGTTCATTAGCAAACAAAGTGATCAATAAAAGTGATGCACCACAATTTTGTTAAGTAAGAGAAGCTGGCGCAAAAACTGTGAGACCATTTGGCCTTACCGAAATAAACGGTACCTGGAATATCTGACCAGCTGTGACTGGAACCGCGCACGCAGCCGGGTGCTCCAGGGTTCCTCAGGCGCCTGCTGAGAGATCAGCCGGGCTCTTGTCAGCACAGGGCTGCAACTGCCCTTGAAGCAGACCCCCTGCTGCTACCCTCCTCATCCGCTACCTCCAACCAGGGAAAATCCCCTCCTGTAATACACCCCTTTACACTAACACCCCTCAGAAAGCACGGCTTTTTGCAAGCCATAACACATATCTAGAACGCTATTTACTCCGACAAAAAGCTGAGTCAAAATAGCATGTGTTTAGTGTTTGCAAAGGTTAATGGGCTTCTTTTCTCCATACGAACCATGAAAGCAAAAACCAATCACACCATAGTACTTGCAGTGGGAATGGGGAACGAAAGGCAGGAGGCTGAAAGGTAATATCCCTAAACAGATGTTCCTCAGTCCTTTGATAAAGAGACTATCGGTATATTAAAGAATCCACAGGGAATGTTAAGTAATCACGATGTCTGCCAAGGAAGTCAGTTTCCATCCTCACTGAGTTCTCTGCTAGCTTTGATATGGCTAAAAATCAATCCAATAACACAAACATACATTCCTTCATAGAAGGCTGCACTCTTTTCTACACCTCTCTCTCTCTAGATATATTCTTGTATATCTTATACACCTGTGTGTCAGTCTTCCATGAAGTGGTGTGAAAGGAGAAGGGCTCTACACATTTTCCAGGGTCTGAAAAGTTATTTCCTAGTGAAATCTGACAATTCACAAATGAGACAAGTTCTTATCCCCAGCTATTGGCCCAGACATTGAATATGAGAGAGCAGACCACTATGAAAAACCTCAGATATTGCAGAAAAATGTGCAAGGAAGAATGTGATTACATCTCTAGAAGCTCAGATAAGGGACTCTGAGGTAATCAAACCTCAAACAGCATTATATATGCTATATATATTATAAATACGATATATATTTTTATATGTATTATATTCCTTGTGGAAGCCAGTCAAACTTTTGGCCATCCCTTCCTGAAAGTAAATGTAAACAGTGACACCTTGTTCAAAGAAAAATATGGTATTGTGGGTGTTGGATGGACCCGTTCCAACCTTTAAGAGGGCTTACTTTATAAATACAGCATGAAGAGGGCTCTGCTTCTCCTAAATCCCACAGAAAAATCAAGCAACCATGAATGGCCTTGTGCAATTCAAATTACATAAAGCATGCTGTTCAAGAGAGCAGTCATCTTTCCTAAGTTCATCTTCGTAAGTCTAATAACTCAAGTATCAGGTAAAATCAGCAGTGAAGCACCTACTGTTTCTCTGAATGCTGAGTTTGTATAAGCAGATGGGAAATCCCGGGAATTTTCAGCAAATTTTCACCTCCAGCTTGGCCTGGCGTGTCTTGTTTCTTGTCTCACAAAATTTCAGCAAGTTGCAATATTACAGTCAAACTAACATGACCAAGCCATGGTTTTAGCACCTAGTAATATCAGGTAATGAAGAACAGTCATGCTCATTAACTTTTCATTGTGAAACGGGATTTTTATCAGTGCTGTAAAAACAAGCAAACAAAACCCCAACTGTCTGCTATTACGCTGTCAGGTGCATTTGTTCATTATACCTGCTAATCAGCAATGAGCTTCATGCCAGCATAACTGGAATGGAATAACGGCTCCAGATGCTAGGACAAAGGAAGTCTTCATTCCTTAAAAATGCGTCTTTAGGAATAGCCGGAATGGGAAGGGTGTC